GCGCTCCGCCTCTTCGCAGGGTACTTTTTTTTTTTTTTTAACGGTAACCCTCCGCCAAGAAACAGAGACGATAGGTTAAGAACTCGCGGTGTGGTGAATCAAGTTACAGGCTCGGATTACTCCGCGGCTCTCAGGCGAGACTTTTAGAGAGGCAATAAAAAAAAAAAAGAGTTCCGCCTCGCAACAGATCCGGCTTGGAGCTCCTCCTCTTCTTCTGCCGCCTCCTCTCTTCCTCCCCCCTCCCCACCTCCATCCCGCTGGCGGTAAATTGGGTCAGTAGAAGGACGGGGGGGGTAATTCTCCTCGGAGAAAAGAGGAAGCGGCTTGTTCTTCCTCTTTCCGTCCCTTCGAAGGGAAAAATGAAGCGATTTTGCTTCCTCCGGTTATTTACTATTTGTATCAAAGGCCACCTGGAATGGCAATTGCCTACTCGACGTTTTTTTTCCTCGACGCTCCCAAGCTGAGGCTATGTTTATGTTGTTGGCTTCTGAAAATGTCCAGCAGCCCCGATCCTTTATGATATATATATCCGAACTGAATTCTAACGCGACTAATTCATAAATTTGGCCGACCCAAATTTGATCTTCAATGCTTAACGATTTACACTGTCTCCCTTAACTTCCAGGCCAGACTGCTTTTTTTCTTTTGGCTCTCTGGCTTAAAAAAAACGAAGACCCGGTAAACTTCCTGTAAGAAAGATCGGTAGATGCCCTTTCTGGTTGTGCTGGCAGCTGTGCGAAGGGCTTCAAAAAGATCTTTCTTGCAGCTTTGCGGATGCCTCCTTGAACCGGCAATCTGGGAAGAAAGACCAGTTGAACCGGACGGATTAAATTTGAATAATGAACATTTGTGGGACTGCAGCCATATTAAGATGATTTGTTCTGTCTCCTGCACAAGGAACAAAAGAATCCCTTAGATGTTCATTGTTTTGAGTGTTCTCTGGTCTTAAAATGGGGCTGACTGATTTGTGACTTAATATGGCTTTTACATTCGGTTCTTGGGGTTCAGGGTTTATAGGTAGTCCTTGACTTAAACAACAGTTCACTTAATAACTTCTAAGAAGAAATCAAACTCAACCCTTCCTTATCCCCAATAAAATGTTAGCCATAAGGAAAAACCTTAGAAAAGTCAAAAGACCAGGATGCTAATAAAAAACTGCCTGAAGTCCATTCCACATTCCAGTCAGATGCCTAAAATAAAAATTATAACAAGCTAATTACAGATCCATTTAAGGAGATAGCAAGCTTATTGAAAGAGGAAGCCAACTATCTAGATGGCTGCATTCATAAGCAAAACAAATCCTGTTGGCAGGAGACCATTCAAAACAGGATATTTTGAAACCCCTTACAGCAGGGGTATCAAACTCCATTTCATAGAGGGCTCCTTCAGGGTTGTGCTTGACCTGGGAGGGCTGGGGTGGCCAGCATGACATCACTCATGTCAAGGGGCACCTGTGGTAGCCTGAGCTCTCAGCGAAAATGGGCTCCTCAGCTCCGTTTTTGCTGGCAGAAGCACCACGGGCCAATCCTTTGCTGTTTCCAGGGTGGCCCTGTGAGCCAGATCTGGCCCCTAGGCCTTGAGTTTGACACCCCTGCCTTACAATAATTTCAACAGTTAACAAAAGCAGAGTGATAGGATAGAGCAAGCAGCCCCTCACACACAAATCCAACACAGGATATAGCCATCAGCCACAATAAGAATTACCCAACAACCTTTCAGAACACAAAGCCCTTTCAGATTTGTG